TTTTAGAGCAGCTAGCCCATAAGAGTGATTATGAAAAAATAAGGAACTTTCTGTATGTTTGTCCCATTGTTGTACATTAATAACTTTTCTGTACCTTTTGATTCATTTTGGAGTGAATAATATACATTTTATTTCCCAGTTCAGCATCGAGACAGAGTTATCTGGACCAGAGAGGGGAGCACACACTTTTGGAGTAGATCCTGTAAATGGTGTTGTTAGCTTAAGAGGTGAAGATGCCTTGGACTTTGATGCTGGATATCATGTAATTTAATTTTACTTATTTCTCTATGAAGAATGGAAAAGAATTTTAAAAGAGTTTTGAACTCCTCATGAAAAATTGGAGACAATGTAACATTACAGAAAGGGTAATATTTTACAAGATTCATTTGCAAGGATTTGTGTAGTTAACTAAATGTCTAGACCAAACCCTTACAATTATCAAAGTGTAGGGTTTGTACTTTAACTACATAAAAATTTCTAAAGACATTTAAGACCAAATGACCACAGTTATCCCAGGCAAACGACCATTGGAATAACTGAGTGTGAAGGGTAGATAATTGTAAGTTATTACTGTTAGTACTACCATTGCAAAACTGCTCCTGTTCTAGAGATGATTCCAAATATGTTAACTCATGATGCAGTTGAAAAAAGACTGAGTAAGAAAATGCAAGACTCTAGAACAGTGGTTCTCAATCTTCCTAATGCTGCGACCATTTAATGCAGTTTATTGTGTTGTGGGGACCCCCAACCATAAAATTGTTTCCTTGCTACTTCATTGCTGTAATTTTGCTACAGTCATGAATCATACTATAAATATCTGATATGTGCCATCAGGGGTCAAGAGCCACAGGTTGAGAATACCTGCTCTAGAACAAAAATAAAGAAGTTGCTGGTGACTTTTAGGAAGTAGATTTAGAAGGTGAAGATGACTTCAACTTTATAATCTGAAGAAAAAAATAAAAGGATGAGTAATGCAAATGAATCTTACTTAAACTTCAGTTTGGAAATGTTGAGTGTTGCAGAATAGTAGAGTAGGCAATAACAGATTTTATGAGCACTGTATGAGATTAAAGTTAGATGGGAAAGAGGTGGAAGTTAGGTATACTTCGATGTGCATGTAACCAGTTCAGACCTAACATTCTGGTGCTCCCCTGCCTCTCTTGTCTTTACTCATACACTCAACCCAGCACATTCAGACTTCTACAATTCTTTCTTCTTTATCCCCACTATACATTTCATCAACTAATTTATGAGATTACACATATAGTCACCCACACAAATCACTGTCTTTTATTCAGCATGGAAGCTTGTACGATGTAGGTATGAATGTTTGTTCAAAGTTTCTTAAAGACCTTTTACTCTGTGTGTAGTGCTTGGTTTGTGTTCTGAAAGTGACACTTGATAATAGGAATGCATGACATCTAAGCAGTGAGAGGAGGGACAGGCTTGACTAGGAGCATACTCAAGTCGGATGACAACCTCAGCCTTTCAGAAACTGCACATTGTTCTTATCCTGAAAAATAGCTTGAAGTCCTGTGTCTCAGGATCAGCCCCAAACAGTTAAGAGCTTCAGTTCACTATATTTTGTGTTTATAGTTAAATATAGATTTCATTCATGCTTTTGTTTCAATTGCCTCTATATTTAGGCCAGCAACCAAGCTACAAAAACCTCTGAGTGAAACTTTATGGGATATAAAATGAAGCTTTTTGAAATTTATTGCAAGTGTAGTTAAGGAAGTAATTATGCTTATTCTGAATAGTAACTCAGAATAGTATTTTTCTTCATATATACCCATTTGTGTTGTATACATCGCAGGAAATGTATAAACTATATAGGTATACCAGTTATCAAATGATATATTATAATTTTTCAAAAACCTCTCTTCCAGACTTTCCAGCTTTCAGTGAGAGCAACAGATTCTGCGGGTTTGTTCTGTCAAGGGACAATAATTATCAATATTCGAAACATAAATGATGAGACGCCTCAATTTGAGTAAGCACATTCATTTCAAAGTGTTAGCAGAGGGGAATGGTTAAAGAAAACCTTTTGTATATTTTACAAATGGCAATAAATAGTCTGTGATAATGGAAAAAAAATGATACCATGGTCTGTCAAAAACTGAGTAGCACATACCCACAACTCATGCATGCATGGATACAAAGAGCAATGTGTATGAGAAAATACTCAAAACAAGTTTAAAAGTGATCAACCTGCAATGAAATGGAAAGATTTGGTTGTGTTTTTGTTTTCATTCTCAAGATTTTCTATGCTATTATGCCAATTTTTAATAATTACACTAACTTTAAAAAATTTTAAATATTTAAGTATTTCATTTTTATATTCCCAAGTACAATGTAACAGGAAATATTTGCAGATTGTCAATACATAGCTTTCAAAGTTTAAAATGTAGTAATCAAATAGTCTATTATAATAGGAAAGTAACTAAATATTTCTTAGATTAGTAAAGAGAAAAATGTAATTGTGTTATGGTCACTTTCCTTTTGTTACTAAGTTGTGTCTCAACAAATAGATAACTATAAGAAGGATTTTATTGAGTTCCCGAATTCACCTGGCTACAGTATCTGAGAAACTGAAGCAAATTTAGAGGCTCAGTAATCTCTTATTTTTGAAAATAATCATTCTTCAGGTCTACCTGTATTTAGTAAAAGCACCATCACTATTTTTCCCCATTTAATAAACATGAATTTATTACCCATTTAACAGAATTTATTACTAAGCACACATGAGCCATGACCAAATTATTATATAGTTTCTAAATATTTTTTTCATATCTGAAGAGACACAGAATACTAAGGAATAGGGAAACAGAAAAGGAAGGGACTTAAAGTGTTCCAGAATATAATTACTATAGGGACATTATGTTTATTATATTGGATATGAAAGAGGAGCCAAGTGAGATGTAATCAGAATGTTGCTTGGAGGCACAGCATAATACACTCAACCCTCTTGTTCTTGGACCTCACATGACACACAAGTTATCAGCTAGATATGATTCTTTAAAATATGCCAGATAAAGAGACTTACATTTCAGAAATATTCTGGAGATGATCAGAGCCATTGTGTGAGATTAATGTTACAGAAATTTACTTAATACCTTGCTCTAAGTTATAGCTTTGGCCAGCCCCTCATCCTAGAGATTATAAGATAAATGGATGCATTCAGTACCTTATGTTCATTTGTCAACTATTCCATGCATTGACTATCTGGAACAATGGAGATGTATTATTCCATGCTGTTTTTCATTTTCCATCTCTCTTATTCCATGGTGTTCTTGACAAACTGGCTTAATAGCAGAAATTATATAAAAGGAAATCATGTTTAAAAAAATCTGTGTAACTGCTCCACAAACAAATTTTCTCAAAATTTGAATACATTAGGAGCTCTTAAATTCTTGGGTTTTTGTTTGTTTGATTATTATTATGGTTTTTTTTGGTTTTTTTTTTTTTTTTTTTGGTTTTTCGAGACAGGGTTGTGCCTTTCCTGGAACTAGCTTTATAGACCAGGCTGGCCTTGAACTCACAGAGATCCACCTGCCTCTGCCTCCCGAGTTCTGGTATTAAATGCCATGCCACCACTGCCTGGCTTGGAGCTCTTAAATATTTGACAAAAGGTAATGGTTTCATAAATCCAGAAGTTTCTTTAGTTATAATTCAGTAATTACATTGTAAGAGTTGTTCCCAAAATTTTTCTTTACAATTTTATTCCTAGGCCATTTCCTATGGATTCAATTAATGTGACTGAAAAGAAACCCATTGGAGATTTTGTAGCAAGAGTCAAAGCAACAGACCGTGATCAAGACAGCAGCATCATGTATTCCTTTAAAACTCACCAGGAAATGTTTGCTTTAGATCCTTGTAAGTTTTAGATAAATACTTTTAGACTACTTTAGCTAAACATACACTTACCTCTACACTCCCTTTAGAGCTTGGGCTGGTAAAATTACTCTTCTAAAATTAAACACTGAGTAGGAAACAGCAGAAACATGTGACATTATACTTATGACTTTCCTACTTGTTAAAAGAGAGCTTCATGACATAGAGTGTTAGCTAAAACTTTGCCTCTACTATGAGCATTATCTTTCAGAGATAATTAGCATTAATGTGTCTGTGGAACACATAGCTATCTCTTTGGTCATATTTGTAAAAATTGAGACTTTAACCAGGTAATTTAATGTTAAATATTTGATTGGGGATAGATTTTTGTCTACGTGGACAGCATAGTTGCTCTGAAATACTGTTCTTGTGGGGTTTTGTTAGACCTGGTATCATCAAATATAGTAACTTAACAACAAACCAGAAGCACCAAGAACATATTGCAGAAGCTGACTGTGTAGTTTCCTATAGGCTGCAGTCATTATCTAATTCTAGAACTTGAGTCAGGGAAGGAAGGTGGACATAAAGTGGGGAAATTTAAGATAGATTAGAACACAAGAGGATGAGGATTCCATTAACATGACTTGGCCTGAGAGTTCTTCTTGCCTCTGACTTTGATGGTGTTAGTGTCCTACAGAAGCTGGGTCCTTCCATCTCAGATTTAGTACATACACCTATTCTAGAAGTCAGAGAAGCTGAAAGATCTCCCAGATATGTCCAATTGGAGGCTGAGTATAGCTATGAATATGACAAAACAAAATTATAAACCTACTTAAAACATTACGGGACTGTGTGTGTGTGTGTGTGTGTGTGTGTGTGTGTGTGTGTGTGTTTCAATTTTAATATAACTCAACTGCATAATTTTAACATGAACTTTATAGAATACAGTGTGTTGCAACAATGTGCAAAAATTGGAAAGGCTGAGGGGAAGATAAGGTAGTTACAGATTCAGTAGTAGCCCGTTCATTTCAGCAGCAATGCAGTAGATCAGCCAAAATTTATATAAGAAGCTAAACTTCCACAAAATAAGGTAAAAGCCTTCTGCTACCATTCCCATTCCAGCCTCCAAACTGACCAAGTATCTCCCTGTGGGGCCACCAAAATGAGAAGCCCATGAGTATAGACCAATCAAGTTGGCACATTACAAAACCATAGTACTGATCAGCTATTATTTGAGAAGATTTATTTGAATCCATAGTTTTCAATTTGTTCACAAATCTTCAAATTCAGATATTGGTTGAAGAATGTAAAGAGATGTTAGTAGAATTCTAAAGCTTGTGAAAGTGCTGAAGATGTTCAGAATAAGGTCAAAGTAAATCATTCTAGAGCAAAAAGAGGCAAGTCTTAGAGGGAAAGCAGGTGGTGGCACCAGGGTTGAGCATTACCTTATTTCAGCAAACTTCCCTTAGTTTGATCTCCTTCCATCTTTATGTGTAACAAGATGGCTGAAGCTTAGTAGTAGAAGCAATAAATGATAGGGATGAGTTTTCACACTCGCTACTACAATATATTATTATAATCAATATCAAATGTGACCCCTAAAATTTAGCAATTTAGAGTAGAAATGCTACTTACTGTGTTTGGTAAACAAATACATGATAATTTAGATATTTAGAGGAAATATGATGAAATAATTTTAACATATAATTACTTAAAATAAACATGTAGTAATAAAAAGGCTGTTGTAGAATATTATTTTAACTATGTGAAGACATGTTACACTTGTTTATGCTGAGGAATATTAATTTAACAGTCTAAAGGTGTATTACTTTGTTTATGCTGCATTTGTTTAATTATGTAAAGATGTGCAGCATTTGCTTCACCTTGCCTGTCTAAGATACCTGATTGGTATAATAAAAAGTTGAACAGCCAATAGATAGGCAGAGAAAGGGATAGACAGGACTGGTAGTCAGAGAGAATAACTAAGGGTAGAGATCTAGGTTCAAGAAGAATAAGAGAAGATGGAGAAGAGAACATTAGAAAAAGAGAGGGACACACCCCAGCAGGAAGCCAGGCAGCCATCAGAGAGCCAGACACAAGAAAGAGTGTAAATAAGACAGACAGAAGGAAAGAAAGGTAAAAAGCTCAGAGGCAAAAGGTAGATAAAGAGAAACAGGTTAATTTAAGTTAAAAGAGCTAAGCCGAGAATTCTTAACTACTAAGAAGTCTTTGTGTCATGATTTGGGAGCTTGTTGGTGACCCCAAAAGAAAAAGCCTGGTATGAAAAGCTTTAAATATAAGCAATGGATATATACTTGGTAAATATCACCTTTCTTTT